GAGTACTCAGCTTTGGCTTTCTAGGCCTGGGTTACCTTACTTTGTGTAGTATAATGGTTCTCAAACTTCCTAATGCTGCGACCCTTTAATATAGCTCCTCATGTTGAAGTAACCCCAACCATAAGACTATTTTCATTGCTATGTCATAATTGTAATTTTGCTACTGTTGTTGATTGTAATGCAGAATCTGTGTTTTCTGATGGTCTTAGGCCCTCCCTGAATATGCGTTAGCTTCTCAGTTTCAGTTTAGGCATGAGTATAATAACTTGTCAGAATTGTGACTCTTTTGAGGGCCTGTTTTGTATCTGTATTGAGAATTGCCAGACTGATCATGTCCTTGATGTCAACTTCTATTTTGGATCAATCAATGTATTAGGGAATATCCAATAGTTTCAAGTAAATAATTGATTGGCTGGGTCGATGGAAAGACAGGTAAATGGGCATTTTGTCATAAAGTCACCACTCCATAATGGATTTAGCGACTCTCTCATCTTGTCCTTCTTCTGGTTAGACAAAAAGATGCTTCTGGTTCCTAATTGCTTCCATCCCAGCTGTGTTTTCAGATTCCTTCAAAGGACAGATAAAGGCAATTTCTGTTCATGACACTTATTCAGTAATGCAACACAAAAAAGAATTAGGGGCTGGTGAAATGAAACAAATAGACTCATAGTGAGACTATTGAACGTAGGCCCTACTGAGCATCTGCTTAGTTCTTGGAGTTCTGTTATAACAACTAGATGATAGAGCTTCTTGGAGTCTCCTATGCCTTTTGTGATCCTACATAACTACACATACTTTTCTAGATTATTAAAATTGTGACTTTATTGACTGATTGCCTATATGCAGGCCATTTTCCCCACTGTCTTGTGACAATCTTTGACCTTGAAGCCTGGATCCACAGTGGAAGCATAATGCTGCCTCCACTTTTTAATGTTCTCTTCTCTATCATAATTCTTCTTTATTGTAACTGTGCATTTTTATTAGTTTTATATCCCACTGTGTTGAGACTGATTTTGTGGAATCCTCTGGTTTTCTTGGGTGTGCTTTATAAAGAGGGCAAAAAAAGCATACCTCTTGGGAAACTGTAAATGGGATATGTATTCAGCATTATCATATAAAAAGCATTTGTTCTCATCCAAGCCCTCATGAAATATTGCCAGGATGCTTGAGGGCTTATATGAGATTATCCACAATCAAGAGTGTCCAAGCAGAGTTCTAATGTAGAATCTGTGAGTTCTTCTAGCTTTAGGATGGAATGTTTACAAGTTCTAAGAGACATTTAGCATATTTTTAAATCGATGGCAAGATTTATGTGAACTTTTCGGTTATAGATGAGTCCTCTCTAGAAGACTTTTTTTTTTTAAAAACAAAACTCAATCATATGTTCACATAGTCATGATTAACTCTGAACATCTTATTCAGTAAAAGAGTCCACAGGACACATAATAGATAAACAGATGAAATCCATGCTAACTAATTCCTTGTTCTTGGTATGATCTGGAAATGAAGTTTTAGGCATTTGGAAAGAAAGATTAATATGTTGCTTAATTTATTTTCCAAACCGTTTTCTATTTAGCTGCTTCATTACCACAACAAATCTTGCAATAAACTCTCATTGTATCAACCACGAAACCATCCTGGATATGCTAGTTAAGGAAAATTTCACTTTGAAGAGGAACATTGTTTGGATGGAAATCACAGTTGATATCCTTCAGAGGCACTGGAATAAGCCAGTTACTTCCAGAAGTTCATGATCTGGTTTAAAAAGATGAACTAATAAGGTGGGGAAGTTATGCTAACCAGGCAGGCTGTGTAATCTCTTTCTCATGGAAACTTCAAGAAGTTAAGTATCAGCAAGTATTTGTCTTCTTGAGATACTCCCCTGCAATCTGGCTTTCAAAGAAGGAATTATTCATGTCTGGCCTTCCACATTTAAACTTTGCTATTGTGAGCTTATTTTTTCAGAAATTTGTGGGTTTTGTTTTCAAGTTTGACTATTGTTGGTGTCATTGATAAACGCTTTATTAGTGCTGGAAGATCTGTCATATGTGATTTTTTTTCTTTGTCATTGATGTTGAGGATTTTCCTTTCCTAAAAGCTGTGATCAATACCAAAGTTAATCTTTGATGGACGAGGTGCTTCATCACATAGGAAATAACTTGGGAAATTACCTTACATGGTAGGATGGAAAGTCCAGTGTCTGCTGACCTTGCTTATGTCGATCTACAGCTTTGTGGTATAGACCTAGAAGGGGATCCAGGATGAAAAGGGATCAATGTAATCCCTGTAGAGAGGGAGTCAAGGCTGAGTGGAAAACCATAAGTGGAAACTTTATTATGGCAGAGCTCACAGTCTACAAAAAGTGTTTCAGCAGGGCATCTGGGATGCCTATTCTGTGTTCTGTGATAGGTATGGACGAACCTGCGACAATATTAATCAAAGAAATGAAGTTAGAAATATTGGCCACTTCTAGGCCCAATGCACAAATCCCCTTGAGAGAACCTTGCAATTTTTGTTTGTTTGTTTGTTTGTTTGTTTACTCGATACAGCTGAGCATATTGGCCACTTGTATCACATGGTCAAAGGACAGCCACAGGAGCCATAGGAACGTGAAATCTGGGTTCCTGAATTGGCCCTTGTGGAAGGTATAACAATTAGTCATCATCAGTTAAAAAGGAAATCTCTTTTGGACTTTCTGTGAATGAGAAAGAAACTCCTCTGTTTGCAACTGGGCCACTTATGCATTTGAGGGCTATTTATTATAATGATCACATTATTTTAACTAGCCCATATAACAAATAGACTTGATCCTTTGCTTGCTAAGTAATTTCTTATAATGTCAAAAGCATAAAATCTGGAGCTGTTTGTAGCACTGATGTTCTAGCCCTGCAGGCTACTAACTAAGGGGCTCAGAAGATGCCCTTTGAACAGTCAGTTTCTGAACACTAGCTGTCCTCTCCCCTGTGATATATCCCGTCCCTTCACCCTAACTCAATCTCGGTGTTCTGCCGTTATCAATGGAGACAGGAAGGACTAATGTAAGTTATGCTGATTCACCCACATTCTTTATCTTCTCTTTTCCTTGCTGAAAGATGTCATTTGCTAGACCCAAAGAAACAATTTATCCTTGATACAAGGAAACTTAAACATTTACATCACTTGATAGCAGTAGCAGATTTTGTTACTGATCGAGAATTTCATACATTCATATCATGTGTTTTGACCAAGTCCACCCCCAGTTATTTCCATTTACCATCAATTTCTTCTCCCAACTTCATGTTCTGTGTTTTTTCAACCTACTGAGTGCACCCAGTGCTGCCGGCATGTGTGTGGGCAACTTCTAATGGGCGTGGTTCCTTTTTCTCCGAACTCACACCAGCATTTATCATCCCGTTTTATTTTTAAAAACTTTGTCATGCTTACAGGGGTCAGATGAAATCTCGCGAGTAGTTTTCATTTGCATTGATGGCTTAGGTTATCTCTTAGTTATTTGAATTTCTTCAACTCTCTCATTTTTTTCTTCTTTAGAAAAAGCACACGATTTATCTTATTTTATGTGTACGGGTGTTCCACCTGCATGTTTGTATACCAGGAGAGGGCCAGAGAAGAGACTATGTTCCCTGGAACTGTCGTGAGCCTTCACATGGATGCTGAGAATTGAACCCACTATCGCTGGAAGAGCAGTCAGTGATCTTAACCACTGGCCTTCCTCCAGCCCCTTTATCTGTTTTGTTTCCATTTTTCAGAACTCTGTGCTTAGTTCTGTGCTGCAGTTTTTAATTAGGTTGATTGTTTTCTTGATGTTTAGCTTTGAGGGTCTTCGTATGTCCTTGACACTAGCCCTCGGTCAGATGTATAGCAATTAAACATTTTTTTCCATTCTGTAGACTGCCTCTTCACTTGAGTGATGTTGTCCTTAGAGATATAGAAGCTTTTTAGTTTCATATGGTACCATTTGTCAATTATTTGTCTTAATACTGTGCTGAAAGGGTCCTTCTCAGAAGGTGTTTTCCTGTGTCTACAATGTTCAAGCATCTTCCATACTGAGGTTAGAATGGTCTCTTTCTCATGAGGCATCTGTCTGGTCTAGAAGCTGAGGGATATTTTAGTAGTGCTTCACACTGCCTAAACAGGTACCTGTCCTCTGAGATCCTTGACACACTTCCAGCCTATGGAAACCTTGCCACTTTCTCTCTGACTTCTCATTTTCAGAGTCTGACTCTAAAAGGTGACTGCTAGTCCTCAATACCAAAACAACAGGTCTTTTTAGCATCAAGACCTATGAACACAGTCTGACATCCTAGAATGCTGCCACTGCAGGCCATGTTGATATCTGTGGTCTGTGCCGCCACCCTAAGAACATGTTGATGTGTGTGATTCTGGAGGCCATGTTGCTGTCCACCATCAGGACCACTGCAGGAGACCATGTTGATGTCAGTGATCTGTGCTTCATCAAGAAGCCATTTTGAGTACTGTGGTCCATCTTGCCACTTGGGACCACACTGAGGCCCGTGTTCCATGCTGCTGCTGGAAGTTGTGTGGATGGATGTCTGTAATCTGTACTGCCACCAGAAACCATGTAGAAGTCCATGATCTATGCTGCCACCAGCTGTTATGGGCAAGGAAGCTTCTTTTACAATGTTATCAATGACTGAAGACAATTGGGAATGAGAAAAATTGAGACTTCTGTGATATGCCCTCCAACCCCCTACAAAGAAAAAGTCTGAACAGGAAGCCGGGAGGCATGGGAAGCTACTATAATTGGGTGCATTGAATGAATGAATGAATGAATGAATGATAACAATAATAATAAGAACAACAACAACAAGGAGGGTGTAGGAAGGAAGGAAAGAAGAAAGAAAGGAAGGAAGGAAGGAAAAAAAGGAAGGAAGGAAGAAAAATTTGAAAAAGCAAAAAACAAAAGGAACTTGGGTTATATTCCCAGTTCCTTTGGGGTGAAGGTTCCTGAGCAGTGTTTGATTCAATGGCTTCTCAGGAGTATGGTTGAGCCTCCTGTCTTGGATGCTTTCAGCATGTATTTTACAGGTAGTGGAGCCAGGGAGCATCAAAGCAATAAATGGCAGCTTCTGGCTAAAGCAAGGTGATGATGATTCCCTTCCTCAGTGTTGAGGCCTGGGCAGTAGGCACCAGGAGGCATTATTTACTTACTGTGTTTAGAATCCATCGGAAAGAGCTGAAAATTGTTTGGCACTATTTTTTAGTCATCTCGAATTCTAACCTGCACATTTCGTGCTGAAATTTGTCAACTGTGTCTTGGAGAGACATCGCAGCCTGCCCAGAATAGAGACAGAGCTGGCTTTCCAGTGAATGCCATTTAAAAGAAATCAGAGAACCTTTCAGGGATATGATGCTTTTGATTGCTGTTATGATTAGCAATAGGACTGGGAGACTTCACCGTTCACCGAGCGGCAACAAGTGTGCTACGCGTTGTTGACAAAGCTCAGGATTTCAGATTGTTCTTGCCAGAGGAGGAGACCTCACTCTCTCCAGGTCCACCTTTATTTCCCCTCTGCTCTCCTTATGAGTATTTTGCTAAGCCGGGAACATCATGACCCAGATGGAAAACTGACTCAGGAGGCTGTATCCCTAATGACCTTGCAACCTATTTTTAGATTATTCACCTTTTCTCCACCATGTGTGGTGGAGAAAACATGTGGTCATTTACTTATGTTTTATTGAGTATTCATTGCAACCAGGCTCCTTTACATCTGATATGCTGTATCTAACTCAATAACAACTATGAGTTAGGATAATTACTAGGGAAATACTGGGAATGTGGAATTGAGTTTTACAGAGGTAATGGAAGAAATGAACCTGCATTATAATTACGTCTTTGGGATGGGGTTGTAACTCAGTGGTAGAATACTCTTTCTTCTAGTATGTTCAATGCTGTATATTTTGTATTTTTCTGTAATAATGCTCATGCTGCCACATACATTAAAAAATTCCAGGATTGAGTTTAAAAAGGGCAGCAAGGCCATGGCAGATTTTATATTATGTGTCTAATCGGTATTATGCTGTCCCATCATATCCATGTCATTCTATCTCTCTCTAACCCATCCAATTCCACCTTATACCACCCCATCCATTTTTATATTTGCTCATTTCATTCAGTCCTACTTCTACTATCTCATCCCATCCCATAGCTACCCAAATGCATCTCTATGCAAGACCCCATAGCAGATTCTATGGATGATTCAAAAGGAATGGTTCATAATACTTAGTCTAGAGGAGTTCACTGCCCAGGTGAAGTGTGGACAATTGAAAGTGGCTGGAAAATGTTTCACTTTTTTTGCTTAAGGAGTCATCTAGGACCATCCCCTTTAATATGGGACAGCATCATAGCTCAATTAACTGCCAAAATGTAGTGAGTATGACGCATTTGGTTTCTGAGACAATGCCAAAAGAAACCTTGAGTCTTCAAGCTAATTCCCTTTGAATGCTATTCCTGGGGGAAATCAGATGACATGTCAGGCATTCAAGATACTTAAGGCTGCTGCTAAAAAGAACAGATGTGGTCAATATTCCCAAGTGAGCCCAGATCTCTAGCTTTCATTGCCACAGTTTAAGACATCTGACCAGCATATTTGCCAGCATGGTGCCTCTTTCTGACCGCAGTTACCACCACGGAAAGCATAAGAAACTCCCAACCAAGTCCTGTCCCAGTTTCCCAACCCTCCAATCAAAAGATCTGACAGAAGACTGTTGTCTGAAGCTGTTGAGTTTTAGAGTAGCTTATCACCCTATCATATGTAGCCAGACAAACAGTAAGAAAATTATGAGGTTTCAGTAAGCATTCTAAGGAAGGGTATGTATGCAATGTCGTTGAAGAGCGAATGCACAGAAAATAAGTTTGCTTCTTGCGAGCCGAGCACTGCCCCACTTAAGTGGGCACCAATTGTATCATAATCTTTGTGAACAGCATCTTCTGTTCTTGTGTGGTACCCAGTGTGTTCAGACGTTTGGCAGTGGTGCATAACGGGTGGTGGGAGGACGAGATAGCTGAGGACATTACACATAAAGGGGAACTGGAGCTGGAAACTGAAATATGATTGGAAGAGGGAGGATAAATGATGCTCAATCAGTGGCATCAGGATGAACAAATCCCTGAAGGTACAAGTTCCCATCATGTTCTTGGGCTCACTCATGGGCTCTGTGTAGTTGTCATGTTGTATCCTGAGGTCTGTGAGAGGAGTGGAAATGTACCTCCATGGCAGTGACAGGAAGGGTCTCATTTTCGTAACCATAATTCTGAGGCCAGACAAAGAAGGTAAGAGAGAGACACAGATAATCTGAAGGCAGGGAAGTGACAAATTCAAAACAATCTATGAGAAAATTGCAATTCAAAACTGCAGTCTCTGAAAGACACTGTTCTTTCAACTGTTTGTCTCTCCCTGAAAGCTTGGCACATCCATTTTTTTTTTTTTTTATTGGAAAGTCTTAACCGACAGGGATTACTCAGTGATTCATTTAAAACGAATCATTGAAGGAAAATCGAGGCACATCACATCCTGCCTTTTTTAATTGGTCATTTATTATTACTGTGGGTGAGATAAGGGCCTTGTGCTATTCTTCTAAACAGTGTAAAATATTTATTGGTAAATATAGCAATGCATAAATTAATGCCAGTTGAGATTTTGTGGGGCATTTTTCCCTCCACGGAGAGCCATAATTTTTAAAGAAAAACAACACTGATGTATTCTGGCTGAGAATTGAGTGAGAAAGTTGTGAGCTCAACATCTGCAGGAAGGAATTGTCTTCTTTGTTTCTTTGTCATAGCAGGATTCTCTGGGTAGACCTATACCGTGTCTGTAAAATCAATTTCTTTTCTATTAAGACTACTGTGCTTGGGAATAGGGCAAATAAAGGTGTAAAATTTTTTCTTTAGGGGTCACAGCTGAATTCAGTAGCAAACTCTCCAACTTTAAAAGACTTTTATAAGTGAGGATATTTGTTGTATTTCTTATCTGAAAGTCCACAGGTAAGCGGTTCTGTAGAGTTGATTTGGTGGTTTAACAATGTCACCTAGGATTCAAGATAATGTCTTCATACAACAACATCCAAAAATAAGGAGGTTTTTTCTTTTTTTTTCTGCAGAGAATGATGTTTAGAATCTCCGAGCAGACTTCCACTCAGATTTCTTTTCCCAGACTCAGGATTGATATCCACTTCTAAGCTAATCATGCTAACTCCAGAAAGGCTTAGAAGAGTTGGCCAGAGTTCCATCTCTGGACTGGAAAAGAGGGACGCATCCTTCATCAGTGTGAGATTACTCCTTTGAAGCAATTTTTAAAATGATTTATTCACTTTATCCTCTGATTGTTGCTCCCTCCCTCACCTCCTCCCAGTTCCACACTCCTCCCTCTTCCCCTATCCCCTTTCCCTAGTCCACTGAACGGGGGAGTCCTCCTCCCCTACCATCTGTCTATCAGGTTTCATTAGGACCGCTTGGTTCCTCTTCCACTGTGGCCTTGCAAGTCCACAATGCTAGACGGAAGTGATCAAAGAGCAAGAAACTGAGTTTATGTCAGAGATAGCATCTGCTCCCCTTACTAGGGAACCGACATGGAGACTGAGCTACTGCCTATGGTCTACATCTGAGTAGGGGGTCTAGATCCCCTCAAGTATCAGAGCAGATGCTGAGACTCACAGCCAAACTTTGGGCAGAGGGCCGGGCGTCTTATGGAAAAAGTGGGGATGGGGAGAGAAGGAACCAGAGGGGACAGGCACTCCCCAAGGAGACCAACAGAGCCAAAAAATCTGGGCAAAGGGTGGCCTGCGGAGACTGATGCACCAACCGTGAACTGAAGCAAAGTTTGTATGTATGTGCTTCTACATGCATAAACCGTCCATGATGACCAGAAGAGGGCATTGGATCCCCTGGGACTGGAATTACAGATGGTTGGGAACCACTGTGTGGATGCTGGGAATCAAACTTGGTCCTCTGCATGATCGTCCAGTACTCTCAACCACCCCACACATCTCTCTAGTCCCATAAACAGGCTTTTCATGAACGGAACTACAGAGGGATGCCTGATTTGTGTGCAGCTTGTATTGTTGGCCACAGATCAAGGTAACTTGGGGCTAGTGATTTAATATATAACATATGACCAGTTATATCCCTGCTGGAAAATACAATAGAAACGTACACTGCAAGGATGTTCTCAGGGAGTATTAGTGGGCCCTGTAACAAAGCAGAATTTAGCTGGAAAAATTAATTCAATAAAACATACAGATTACCCATTACAACTCAGGGGATGGGAACACAGAGACAAATAAGACCTAGCTTTTGCCCGCAAGGAATTGAAAATTCTCTGCACCATCTGTTCTATTCAATTGGTCACACAGAATGCAGATTCAAATACCAATGTTGCCATGTTGCCATACTTCCCTCTGGGAACAAGAGGCTACAGTGTGGCTAGGATGTCCCACTGTCACTGCTTTACTTGGTTTCTTTGACTTTAAAGTCATGGACATGACTGGGTTAATTTTCCCTTTGCTTGATCCTTCTAGTTTACCTTTGCCATAGGCCTTTGCTTCTCCAGGTCTGACTGTCTGCCAGCTGTTATCTCAGCCAGACCCAGGGCCTGTGATGGCAGATTGTGTTCTGATCAATATGTATCCTCACTGCCTAGTTGGTGATTAGACCATAGATGACAGCCAATGAATGGCTGTGGCGTGAATGTATAAATAATTGAACAGAAGGAAATGAAACTCGGACCCTTTATTTCCCTTCCTTCAGTTTCTACCTTATTAGGGTTTCTCTTTTTCCTCACCTCTTCATTTCCCCTTTTATTTTCCCTTTCCTTGTAATCAAATAATGAGCCTGGCATTTTAAGTTATACAGAATTTGCACAGTCTCACAAAAAGCTTACACCTTCTCTCTTCACAGAAAGATTGAAGTTGACCCATAACTGTCAATATTAACTAGGGAAAGGATCCAATGAATATCTTTTGTTCTTCTGCAAACAACCTTTGGGTCTAGTTGCAAAGGTCTGGAGTTTTGTGAACCCCCAAATGATAGATCTGTACCAGAAAAGATCGTTGTTTCTTGTTTCTAGAGTTGAAGGCACTGACATTGTGTGAATACGTACCTGACAGTTGCCAGAGGGTGATATGGACTTGAAATTTGGGGTGTGATATCTTCTATTAATACAATGACAGACACATGAAGATACCTCTTTTAGGTTAAAGCTCCCAGAGAAAAAATCTCAGAGTACACCTAGTGTTTTTCCTGATTGATCTATATATTGAATACCGGAGATCCTGGAGGCTTCATCCACCTGGAAAATGAGTTAGTAAACTCCATTTTGATATTTTGTCCATCTTCATTTTTTTTGCATTAGCTTATTTATAAAAATATAGTATAAAGATATCTACTTCAATGTTTTTTAATGGCCTCTGGAATTTTATGCTGGAGTAAATGGACCTGTTAGGAGTTTTGAAATATGGCTTTCTGGGGGTATTGGGTGGTATTGGAATTTTTGGATCTCCTGGAGTTCTTTTGGATTCTACTAAAAAATAGTTATTTTTAATTTTCTCTGGAGCAACCCCTCTGCTTGGTGCTGTTTGTGGAGGTGGGATGAGAAGCAAGTGTCCACATCGGTGTCAGAGTGAGTGCTCTGTCAAGAACTGAGAGCTGAGTGATGAAGAGGTGGAAGGCATTCCAGACTTGGCTTGTAGGAGGGGTGTGGGGATACCACAGGACCCACCATGCACTGGAAGAATGAGCCAGCACTGACCACCTGAAAGTCAGGGAAAGATGTTCCAAAGAAGGGAACAGTTTGCTCAAACTTGCAGACCAATCCGTAACATTCCTTGGGCAGGAATCCAGTTCCATACCATGTGGAAATACCTATTTTGAACAAGAATCTTGAAATTAATAATGAACTTGGAAATATCAACAGAAGAAGATCATGAAGAATTTTGGTTTCCTGCTTTTGTCCTATGTACAATGGACAGTTATTAAGCTATTTGAAGCTGATAAGGAGCACAGGTCTTACTCATGGAAGTGTAAAGACTGTCGTAAATGACACACTGACCCAAAAACACAAAGACAAGAATGGCCACCCTAATCTTACAGTGAAATGACAAAGGGCTGACTTTTAGGAACTTAGACTGAGTTGTATTTCTGGAATTATATCGGTTACTTCACGGCATTCTTCATGTTCTCCTACCTTCTGAACGAAGGCTTCTTTTCTGAAGAACAAGTAACAATGTCAAGATTTACAAGGATTTCTGAGATCATCCCACAATCAGATCTGCTACTGCTCTGCACTTCTCTTGAGAAAAATCAAAGCTTATCTTTGTCTGACAAGACAGTATCTGCATTAGAACATTTTGATGACTTCTTTATTTTTCTTCTTGTGATTGCCATTAAAAACAATCCTAGGCTAGTTAAACATGACGTTCTTGTGACCAAGGCCCACAAAGCCACTTTAGTTTGTTGTCTCTGGGTCATCAATACCCGTGTTTGTGTGCACCTTAGTAATGCTTTGTTAAGCTGGTCCCAAAGAGGGCTCTTGGCTACTGTTGAGGCACAGCCTCTAAAGCCCCTCTCTCGGTGAGCTCGCTCACTGCTGCTTAAAGAGAACTTCTTTGTTCATTCTTTCACTTCGCAGAGTCTTTCTCAGTGTAACAAAGCTTAACCCTGCCTATTCTTTGCATCTTTAACCAGGCTACTTCTTTCCTCTTGCATTCATTGTCAAGATGCCTGTCTGTGTTATCATTGCAGAACTCCTCGGATAAAGCGTCCATCCTGGCCATCCTCCAGGTCATCAGCGATCTGCTTTCCGTTGGTGAGTAGACTATGCTTACATTAAATCATATTGTGGACTGGGGAGAGTGCGGGCTTCTGGCTGTCCCAGGAAACTATGTAGCTGGGTATTTTTGTAGCTTAACTTTCCTGTGTGGGAGAGAACTACCAGCCAATGTTTTCCCCTTGATGTGATGTGGTAAGTCATGTGTAGACTGGGCTAATTGTACTCAGGCTTTTCAGCCCTGTCACCTACCTTGCAATGCTCAGACTTAGGAGGTAATGAGAGGTTGGGTGGTTATGCTATACTTTCTCCTTTATAAAGCCAAATGTCCTCATCTGGGAGGGCTGCCCTGCAGCACCCATATCCATCCCCTCCTCAGGCTCTCTTTCTCTGTGTCCCATGGGAGGAAACAGATATTGGAGCTTTCATATACATATGTGTGTGTCTATATACATGTATATATGACAGGTGATACACACATATATACATACATATATATTTCCCCATTTACTAGTTGCTACAGAGCAGAATTAGAAAATTGTCACACCTATGTATATGTATGTGTATATATATATGTGTGGCAGGTGAAATTCAAGGGTTGGCAAGTCATCTACTTCTTCAGAAATAAGATGACAGGATTTAGTACCTGTTAGTCACCTGGGTTAACTGGATCAAGAAATAGTAACACAAACAGGCAACACTGAGGATGAATGACATGCCAGATATAAAACCTCCAGGATCCCATCACACTGTGGCCTTTTTTAAAAAGTCAACTTTTATGTCCTCTGGTGGTAGGTCCTCTGGTGGTACTGTTTGTAATTTTTTTTTTCCTTTTCTTGAATGAGTTCTCTTTTTGCAGATCATCACTTGTCTTTTTATCTTCGGGAGGAGTGTAGAAACGTTTAGAAGGAATCCTTGGAATTTCTTCTTCAATATGAATATTTTTTGGGGAAGGGGACAGTTTGAGACAGGTCTTCTCTCTGTAGCCCAGGCTTTCCTGGAACTAACTCTGCAGACCAGGCTGTAGATAATTTTTTTTTTTAAGCCAAGGTCTCACACTATAGTCCAGGCTGCCCTGGAGCTAGCAACCCTTCTGTCTACACTTTCTGTGTGCTGGGGTTATAAGTGGGATGCATGTGGCCCTACTCTCCTTTTTTTTCTTCCCTCCTTTATTTTATTCTTTCTCTTTTTTTTTTTGGCAGACAATTTTGTTTCCATTAGAATGAAAAAATAATCAGAATTTCTTTTTTGATATTATTACACGCCTTTGGGTCCCTTGGTTAGGTCCCATGGGGCCCTTTCCATTTAGTATGTAGTCACTGCTTTTTGAGCTGTCACTCAAGGGGGTGAAGTAAGAGAGGACTTTTTCAAATCTGTTTGGTAGAAAGACAAATGCTTCACCCTTACTCAGGACTCTGCCCAAGAGTCCTCAGATGTTATGTGTGGGCATTTTGTTTCTTAGAGTGTTCCTACAGTGATTTCTGTATTTCCCCATCTACTAGTTGCTACAGAGCAGAATTAGAAAATTGTCACACCTTCAATAAAATGACCCTACATATGACAACACCCCTTTCCTGTTACTAATGACTCATTTTATTACAAAAGAATAGTTAGTGTATGATAGTTACAAGCCTGTAAGCCTATTTCCACGTATGTGTATATACATCAGGGAAGACTTAGCAAGTCCCCAGAACTTGCAATATCATTCAATTTAGCATTTCTGCAGGAGGTGAATATATTAAAGTTTCTAAATATCCCACAATTACCATATTGCACCCTGCTCTCCCCACAGATGGTAGCACAACGCAAAGACAGATTATTTCAATGAGTCAAGGATCTGGCAGTTTGGGTTTCTATGGTGAAATGAATGAACCTTTGTGCTATCTCTGGCTGTTAGTTCTGAGGTTCGCTCTGGGGAGGTGGGTTACCATTCATGGCTCATGTTTCCTCTGGTTTCCTCACAGGCACAGACCGGAGAATTTATTATATGATCAGCAAAGGTGGCAGTGAAGCCCTTCTGCAGACTCTGGTAGATACGGCGAGGTCAGCTTCTCCTGACTCTGACATCCTCCTGCCTCTCTTCAGGCTGTTGGCCAAAGTTGGCCTAAGAGGTACTAACACTTCAAGACCTAATGATGACTGACAGCACACTTCTGAAGTTGTCTCCTGAGAGCAGTTGGGGAAACCCTTGTAGAGAGGCAGAAGGAAGGTCTTAAGTGCCCTGGTGATGGCAGAGCCAGCCATATGGGGGGGGGGGTGATTTCACTTTTGGCTGTTGTTATTTTGAGGCACAGAGTCTTACAGGTTTTTGAGACAGGGAAGCCTCAGACTTACTGTAACCCTTCTGCCTCAGCTTTCTGTATACTGGGATTATAGGCATGAATCTATAACTTGACAAGGTTAACACTTTTTTAAATACAGATTTTAGGTAATACAGTGCTTAGGAATAAACAGGTGACACACAGAAGTTGTAGTCATATCTGACATGGACTGCCAAAGCATGGATCATAAGTCAGAAAAGATGGGAGTGGCTTTAGTGCATTTTAAATGCATACGCAAAGTGAGACCATTTTATGAAATATTTGGAGACAGAATCTCATGTAGACCAAGCTAGCCTGGAACTCACTATGCAGGAAAGGATGATCTTGAAATCCTGAGAGATGGGATTACAGGTGATAGCCCACTATGCCTGACCACACTTGTGTAGTCAATCTTTAGAGCTATCATAGAAAATTGCCACAGACTGTCATTGATCACTGTAATTATAGTCTGTGATGCTTCTGGATCCTCTGAGTCCAAAACCAAGTCCTGGCAGGGTAGCTTCCTTTCGGAAGTCCCGAGAGAGTCTGTTTTCTGCTTCTCGTCTGGTGTTGCCAGGCCTTCTCTCTCTCTCTCTCTCTCTCTCTCTCTCTCTCTGATTTATATTCTCTATCTTTGTGTTCACAGAGTGTTCTCTGTGTATTTACTTTATTGTCCTCTCCACTTCATACAGGGGTATCAGTCATTAGATTTAGGCCCCACCTTTTCCTGTCAGATCCCCTCTTGGCGGACACTGTTAATTCAGTGTCCGCCCTGAATAATCCCCCGTGATATGTCGAATAGGAATAGAGCTTCTGGCTATCCACCCCCACTCCCACCCCCGCCTCCCAATCCCCTGGAGGATCTTGAAATACTTTCTCAGGTCTCTGGAACCTCCTGGAGCATAACTGAATAATCTAAACATTCAGAGTTCATGCACACTTTGCAAAAGGCTTTAACAGTTAAGCATAATCTGCATGTTGAATATCGTGACGGTCACAATTGAGAAGCTCAGGCCCCTTTGATGTTCACTGCCAGGAGCTGAAGCCAAAGGCCCTGGCGCACAATGTTTAGATCTCTGCTTCAAGTTCACAGATGGACTGAGACATTAGCTAGCTCCTGCATAAGTATGTCCCAATATAATTAACAACATTTTACTTAGTGATTGTTCAGCCGGGGTCACTGTATGCACTACTCTATATATGCCAAACATCTCTGTGACCAAGACAGTCAAGTAGCCTGCTCTTACAGAGCTTCTGTTCCAAGTGGGGCAGGTTAGCTGGTCAGCAAATAATTAACTGGATGATAGAAGACTATGATGAGTGCCTCAAGGAAGAGGATGAATGATGCTCCCCTAAGATGGCATGGTCAGGGAGAGGTGACATTTGAGCTGAAACTTGAAGATCGGGGGAAAGTCAGCAAAGCTGAATGGGCCAAGCGAACTCTAAGAAAAGATAGTAGAGACCTGATATATCCCCCAGCCACACAGTGCAGCCTGGTTTCAAGTCTGCCCATGACACTGATCAGCTGTGTGACCCTGGTCAAGTTACTTAAGGTTTATAAACTATGGTGTCCTTATGTTTAAAGTGGAAGTATAAACTTTAATCCTAGAGTTTCTAGGGAGAATAAATGAGGTATTAGCTTACATTCTTATGTGGCCCCAGACCTGACAGTCAAGTGATAAGAGACATACAAGAGCTGTGGTCCCCAAGTTACTGTTCTTTGTGTATGTGAGTTATATATATATATATACATGTGTGTGTGTGTGTCCATGTATTCACATGTATGTATGTACATGTCGAAGCCAGGCGTTGACGTTGAGTATCTTTCTCAATTTCTCTCCACCTTATTTTTGAGACAGGGTATTTTGTTGGACCCAAAGCTCGCTGTGTTTGTTTGTCACTTAGCCCCTGGGATCTTGCTGCTGTCTCCACCCTTAGTGCTGGGATTACAGGTTTATGTACAGCTCCACACTGCTGCTCTCCTTGCTGCAGTCGATCCGAACTAAGCTCCTCATGTTTACACGGCAAGAGCTCTTACCCACTGACTCAACTTCCTAGCTTCAGTGTTCTTATTTTTTTTATTTTATTTTTTTTTCAGTGTTTTTATTTTTACAGCAAATTTTATTGTGTATATTTGGGGTTTTCAGTGTGGCATTATGAAATACAAGTAGCGTTGCCGTTACCACAGTTAAGTAGATAAACATATCTATCATCTCACAGAGTCACTTTATTTTGGTGACAGGAGCAGCTATAATCTAGACATTGTAGTGTGGTTAACTTTATCTTTGTGTTGAATACAAGGGCTCTGGATTTGCCTACCCTATTTGTAATTCTATCTCTTTGGGCCCATCCCCCTTCCCTGCTTCCTCTGCTCAGCCCCAGAAGTCAGTGGAAAGCTACTGCATTCTCTGTCACTGTGCGCACATTTCCTCATGCTAGTGAGGACGGCTTGTCAACCAGACGAGGGAGAATAAAGATCGGTGAGGGTGTGAAGAAAGGAATCTTTGTATACTTTGTGGTGCTGAGCTTCAGGATGGCCATTATCGAAAATGACATAGAAAATTTAACAACAACAAAAGAGCTACCACGTGGGCATGGTAATATACACCTGGAGTCCTAATGCTTGGAAGGAAAAAGCAGGAAGATCAGGAGTTCATAGCCAGCTCAGGACCAGACTGGGCTACAAGAGACCACACTCAAAACAAACAAACACTGAAATCACCATGTCACTCAGAAATTTTCTATAATCTTTCACTTGAACGTATACCCAAAGGAAAGGAAATAACTATCTCATTAAGATCTCTGCCTTCCCATCATCACTGACACACTATTCACAATAACCATGACATGGAAATAGTGTAAGTGTCCTCGGATAAATAAAGTGTAATATACATATGCAATGGAATATTATCTAGTCTAATGGGTTGTATACCCAGAAAACATTATGCTAAATGAAATAATGAAACAAATATAAGAATGTTTCTATGAATGTTATAATCATCATGATGATTTGGGCATCAAACTTAGGAAAGGACACAAACACATGCTACCAGACACAGCCACTCACCTGATAGTGGGAGCAAGAATATAAACAAGAGGTGCTTTCCTCTTGTTTTCAATGCTTATTTTGTAACTATTGAGATGATGATGATGATGATGAATGACTTACCTACAACACTAGACGTCATGTTATTAGAGCAACCACTACTTTTTAATTTTATTTTCTTAACGGCTTTTCACCTTTTATTATGATTTTTTTTTTGTTAAATGGAAATATTACCACCCTCTACTTATAATTTTGATCTAACGTCTCCTAAAGCTCTACGCTATCATTTGCATATACAAAACAATATCCCATCAAAAGAGCAAGATCCATGCTGGGCATGACTCCAATCCCAGCACTAGGCAGTGTTGGGTTCCAGGTGAAAGCCAAGAAAACTCACTTCAGATACAGAAGTTTAAAATGAAAGCTTTATTTTCTGAGCTCAGGGGGGCGGTCAGTTTGGGTCTGAATTTCGTCCTCCAGGGAAAGATGTTTTGCATATTTAAAAGTGAAAATCCGCAATTAGCTCCCATGGGGGCGGAAGGGTGGGGAGCACAGTGGAACAGGGCAGTCATCTCTGACTCAAGTTATTTTTGCTTTCTAGACAAACAGTTCTGGCTGACCTTTAATTTCATTGGTCCTAAGTAACATTTACGGTTAGGGCCAGCTGTGCTTACGGTTGAGGAATTTCTGGGGAACAAGACCACAGAGTATACTGAACAGAAACAGTTTTTGGTTGACCTGAACTTGTACAGATACAAGTATCAGCAACAAGCTGAGATGATGTGGCTGTTAGGCCTGAAACAGAAATGGCTATAGTTATGCTACCCAAAAGGAGCATCCCTCATCACTCAGGAAGCAGTGGCAATGGCAGGTGTAGGTAAATTCTAGGCCAGCCTGGTTTTCAGTGTGAGTTTCAAGACAGCCATGGCTATGTTAAAAAAATAAAAAAAGCCTATGTCAAACAAACAAACTAGCCAACAAATAAAAAACAAATCAAACAACAACAAAACCAAAAAGAAACCAGGGATCCAACCAAAGTCAACACACTATATTCGAATGCTGTGCTAATTGTTTTCTTCATTTCAGATTTATCTTAAAGACTTTGGTACATCTGAGGGTGAATAGGAGTGTCCTTAGATTCAAAGGCTTTCAGGTTTAGAACCCAGAGCCTCCATGTAAATAAGTACATTCACACTTCGCTCTTCTGGTGTACTTGGCTCCAACAGGGACATATTTAGAATATTTTAAAATAGGTTAAAAAGTGTCTTTGGCTATAATTATTCTCTCACTGTGTCATTTTCCTTCTCTCCTGAAACCTTCGGGATGAATGTGAGACATAGCTAACGGATGGATTTGTGTTCCTAGATAAGAAGTTTGGACAGAAGGCACTGGAATCAGAAGCGCTTGATGTGACCTTGATTCTGGCCAGAAAAAACCTGTCCCACAGCCAGAACCTTCTCCACTGTCTCTGGGCATTGCGTGTATTTGCCTCCAGTGGTAAGTTCTGGATGTGATCTGGGCACCTGGAAACCAGGCGGTGTGTGTGTGTGTGTGTGTGTATGTGTGTGTGTGTGTGTGTGTGTGTGTGTGTGTATGCATATGGTCCCATACAGACACCTAAAGGAACCTGGCAATCCAGAGGCCATGGAGGGCAGAAATTATTTGCTACCTTCGCCAGGTAGAGCTCTTGAGCTAGTTCCTATGTATTGACTTTGGCTTTCCCTCTGAGTAGTGGTTACATAATTCTCAGTTTCTCTGTCAGTAAGTACTACCATATCCAGAAGTGCCTTGGCAGGAGGAAGGCAGACTTTCCTAAGGCCTTGACATAGTCATAACATTATGTGTTACTTATGCTTTAAAAAGCTTCGGAGATAACTCAGCTGGTAAAGTGCTCGACTTGCAAGCGTGCAGGCTTGAGAACCCACAGCAAAATGCTAGGATGGTGGTGTGTGCTTGCCTCCCTGGAGCTGGGGAAGCAGAGACGGGAGGATTCCTAGAGCTTGCTGGCAAGCTGCTGCAGCCTAACTGGTAACATCTAAACTAACGTGCAAGTCTCAAGGGAAGTAGATGCTATTCTTGTGGAGGAAACATGGCCTCCTCAAACAAGTGCATGTAAACTCACCCACACATCTGTGCACATATGTGTACAAACACATATGAAAACAAAGAATGGTCCTTATTCATTCCACAAAGCCACTCACTAATGTAACAAAAGCCTTACTGATTTTTTTTTTTTTCTAACCTCATGCTCCTTCCCAACAAATCCTCTTTCTGGGTGATTACTTTCGAACATGCCGGCTGATAGTTATTAAGCATCCACTTACCTCACATATTTTAATTATTACAGTAATTGCATGTTTAGATCTACACTTTTATATCTCGGAAAAGAAAAAAAGGCAGCTGCTTAGAATAGTGAAGTAATTACTTAAATGTATACAGATAAAAAGTCTTGGAGGCTCGCTTTAAAATTTCCAAAATCATGCTACTTCTACTCCGTGTGGATGCACTTTTCATTAGTAGATTAGATTCTGTATGTCCTATCTCCCATGTAATGAACACAGACTTTCATTTCTCCTTTTTTCAGCTCCCTTCCTGGGGAATAAAAGTGAAAATTATTTAGATGTAAAATGCTCTGGAGGGGAAAGACTATGGGCTTAGAGCCAGGGAGCCCTGAATTTGACTCTGATACTATTTCTTATGAGTCATGGACCGAAGGCACTTGACCTGGTTAACCTCATTTTTTTTTCCCTTTGTAAAAATTATAGTGCTAATAATTATTGCTATTAATCTGCTAGGTTTTTGCCTCACTAAAACAACAGAAATTAATTTCCTCACAATGCTAAAGGCTGAGGGTCTGAGACCAAGATGTTGGCAAGGTTTGCTTTCTTCTACAGCCTGTCTCCTTGGTCTTAAGATTCTGTCAGCTCTCCACGTCCTCACGTGATCTTTCCCGTGGGCCTGCACATCTTTAGTCTCTTTCTAGGTTTAAATTTTCTCCATGACAGATTTGGTTATATCCCTTCTCCAATAGCTTCCCTTTTACTTGGTTGCTTCTTTAGATCATAGGAATTAGGGCTTTGAAATGGATTTGGGGGGAGTGCATTCAACCCTCAGCAAATCCTGTAAACTTGTTGGGTGGGATAAACAAGACCCTGTCTATAGGTAAGACCATGACACAGCGGCTGCCTTATCCTATCTCTCTTTTTTTCCCTAATATTTTGAAATCACGTGAAGAGTACATGTGAGTGGAGTAACTAGGGCACCGTCCCTTTAAATATCTTAAGAACTGCTAAAATATTCCCTTTTTACTAATTTTTATCTTATTTGAAATACAGGATCTCATGTGGCACAAACTGGCCTCAAACTCACCATGCAGCCAACGATCACCTTGAATTCCATTTCCTCTGCCCCACCCCCCAAATGCTGGGGTTACAGTCATGTGTCACTATATCTGGCTCAGTATCTCAGATTTCACTGTTGCATGCTCTTAATAAACACAGGGTACACATAAAGAGACCATTTTGTTCCATAATCATGATAATGATAATAATAAAAAAATTGGATTATTGGTTCTTTGTTCACAGTGTCTTCTCTCTCTCTCTCTCTCTCTCTCTCACACACACACACACACACACACACACACACACACACGGAGAAAAGAGAGAGAACAAAGAATACCAGAAAGCATTTGGGAATATCTGAATGAATCTGTGCACATCCATCTCCAAAACAATAAAAGAGGAACTGTAACATTTTATGAAAGACAACTGTCCTTAATGAGTAGCCTAAAAGCATGCAGGCCAATTTGGAGCCTGCCAGCAGTACAAGACTTAATATATCTTTTGGTTTCCTAAAGGCTGAGTGACTTGCTATCTTTAGTACGTATATGTAATCGTTATGAATATATAGCAATACAGCATCAGCTTAGCTCTGAGAAAGCTAGTAATTTGTCTGTGGATGTGAGAAGGTAACCAGTTAGGTCATACACTAGCCTACATTTATTATTCTAGCTAGCTGTTTGATAAAGCCCTGGTGCCTCTCTGCATTTCATTTACTCATGAAAGGCTGACAGAATTTAAGAAGAGTGTGGGATCTGTTTGGTGAATTGTTACACACTATTGACTGTTTCCACAATGTTTCTGCAAGCTTTCCGTAATGGGTTTATGATAGCCAATGTACTTGTTGGCAGTGACCAGGTGGCCAGGTGGGGTAACCAGTAAGGGTGATTCCAGTGAGGTTTCCTTTTGTATCCTCTCCTGATTTTAAGTCTAGTCTTCCACATTAGAATTAGTGTTATTAAAACCAATTCCACTTAATGACATAATTCTTGCTGAATCATCTGCCAGTTATTTTTTTAATCTTGTGTTATTCCCCACTTTAGAAGTAAGTAAGGACTAAATTGGCAACTGTAAAAGTGATGGGCACAAGCAGGACATCAAACCCATCCAATTAATTCGGGTGGTGATGGTCTGTACTCTCCTCAGGATGTAGGCACAAAGGATGCTTCAGGAACGTGTACTCCTTGTAACATCCAAGACATTGGTCTCAGTTGCTGTCCGGTAGACAGTATTGTGGTATTACCACCTCCAGATTAGAATTCCTCTCTCCAGGCCTGAAATAAGTCAGTCTAAGACATTTGTTCCTGTCTTTGCATCTTCAAGATGTCTCATCCCACTCATTTTTTCTAGAATAAGTTGGGCCAAAGGTGTCAGGTGGTCCTAGATCTTCCCTCCCAGAAGCACCAGTACAATGGGGGAAAGAGAATTATTTTTCTTCCTTTCATTTCATTGTCTCCTCCTACAATTTTATATCCCATGGTTTCCTGTTTTGTGTGATCTGTGCTCTTAAATTCAGCTGAGTCTCAAAGGGTATGGACCACATTGGAAAGAGGCTGGGACATCCTTGGAAGTGGTAACAGCATTTATTTATCTGGTGTTCCCTGGGCTTCCCATCATTCAGATCCATGACCATGTTTTAGTACCCCCTCCCCAAAATGGGTGAAAAGGGAAAAATTCCCACACTGGTTATCTCAGAGCACAAGGACTGATTCTTCTACTGTTGTTCTAATAGAGATGCCATCAACTCATTGCCTCAGCCTTAGGGGATTCAAGTATTAAAACTGAGGAGAACTTGAAATTGAGGTAGAAAGAAAGAGTTATCCCGCTCATTAGATTGTTAAAAGAGGTTTTTAATTTTTTTTGTTTTATTTTTCTTTGGAGTGTATTAAATTCCTTAAAGTTGTCAAGGATTAAATCCAAGTTGTATTAGCACATCTTCCTGTGACAATAGCTACTGACTACTGTGCTCTTTGTCTTCAGTAACCACAGGAGCCATGCTGGGAATTAATGGAGCGATGGAACTGCTCTTCAAGGTCATTTCTCCTTACACCCGGAAGCACACCCGGACAATCAGGTACAGGGCATGTTCACAGCGCCCCTGGGGGCTCTGTGTGATGGATGGATGGATGGATGGAGATGGCTGTCCTTAGATCTTCTTGATGCTTCCAGTCTAATCTGTTGGTTGACGCCTTCTTTCTTGCATCTTTCTTGATGTGGGCTGTATCCCACATCAAGCTGCGTCTCTACCTGCCTCCAAGTTTTTAATTTCCTCTTATCATCATAATCTCATCAAATGAGCTTATAACTCTCAAGCTACAATGTCGAGGGCTTCATCTAAGGTTACAGATCTAGGGGATGGCAGAGGTGAAGTTTAAATCCATGTCATTCAGATGTAAAAAACCTCACGTTCTTTTTTGTTGTTCTTGATTTTGGTCTGGTGCTTTCAGATAAATCCTTTTTTTTTTTAATTTAACCTGCAGTGATAAATGAGCATAATCCTCAAAAGACAGCCCAGGAGTGACACAGTCTCAAAAGAATCAGCCAGTTAAATGTCGTAGATGAGTTCTGAGCCTTCTAATGGTTCGTCATGGTAGTGTGCTGGTCTTGTTATGTGGTTTTATGGTTGGAGAATGAAACCTGGCCTATTCTATTTGCCTCTGCATCCTAGAGCAGTGAATCACTAAGTTAAAAAGGGAGATGGTTTCATATAAAAGCTTTAGAGATATTCGGAACCATTAAGATCCATCATTTATAGGAGTGACTCAGCAAGGACCTTGAGAGAATATTAGAAGAAATTCAGCCAATTTCTAAGATATATGGGGTCATTTGGCAAGTAGCATTTCCATGCCCAGCCATGATATTTTCTGCATCCTAGCATCAATCTTAAGCTCCTGTTTCACCTGATTATTTTTCTCTTGGGTCACCACAGTTATGCCATCATCATCCATTCTCACCTACAGTTCTCTACAGCAGCGTTTCCTGAAGTGAAATATATTACAAATCAGCCAAAAAATGGCCTCATCAAATAAATTGAGAAGTTCTGGCTTAAACAAAGTGAGATAGGTTTCTTTACTCTAAGAATTCACAGAGCCTTTTGTGAAACTCATACATACTTGGCCTACGATGTCGTTGGAGTGTGTGTTCTATTCCAAGACTGATTTGGCCAGGGAACTCTACTTTATACATGTCACCTTTGTAAAAGGCCTAGAACAGCAGGCATTTCATTTTGGAAATTTTCTCTTTAAACTGAGAATTTATTGCTAAGCAGGAGTCAGTCCAATCCTCTACCAAAGGATCCTCATGTAATAAGTAAAAAACTTCAGAGTAAAAAATGGGTAAAAATAACCTCTTTATTTTTCTGTAGTATTATTTTATTTTGGTCTTAAATGTCTGTTCCACCAGATGACAAAAATTCCTACCAGGAATTGAAATCAGATTAGCAGTTCTTTAGTCCATCTACTGCCTTTCCATCTACTGCGCACCTCTTCTGAGAATGTAAAAAAGAAACTATGGGTAGCAGTGAGGAACACTGATGGAAATAGTTTGTCCTTAATCACCTGTTCCCACTGGAATGTTCAGGTCTTAGATGTCTACTTTTGTCACTGTGCCCTGCCTTTGTTGATGAGATCGGTAGTCTCAATGTGTCTTTCGGTCACCAACATGCTTTTCATAATGCTATCCCTAATACTCTTCCTATATATGTGGCTGTCTGGTTTTCCTTATACACTCTATGAAAATCAATGTAGTATTCACTGGGCCCTTGCACATGAGTCACCCTCTTCTTTGCCCTGAGTATCATACTGTTTGAAGGGTTTTTCTAAGAAGTCCTTATCAGTTAACCTTGGGTATCAAGGCACTGGGCCCTACAGTTTTCCAGTGCTGATGGCTTTTGTTGTCTCCATTATTAAGGCCAAGATTGGGAGAATGGGAGAACAAAGTGACAAGAACAGCATATGAGATAATAAATTGATGTCATTCAGACCTAAAACTTCATGTTCTTTTTTGCTGTTCTTAATTTTGATCTGGTGCTTTTCACAGAAGTCCCCTTCTTAGGGATACCTACTGTTGCCATCTGTATTGCTTTGCTGTCCTCCTGCAAAAAGTCAAGTTCAGGTACAGATCTGATCAAGGTCCCATAGAACAATGAAAAAATAACTTCTTGATTAATAGGGGTGGATGCTTCCAAGAACAGGGAAATTGCCAAGGATCTCAGGAGTATTTTCTCAGCACCATACCCACCATTTCTGCAGTCTGATCTGCCTTAGATATTTTGTGTCAGATGGTATCCCTTCTTAAGCAAAATGCTAAACGAAAATCCAAACCTCTGCAAAGAAGAGGCCTCTTCACCAGCCTGTACAGTGTAGCTGTCGTGGCCACGGTGTTGATTAGGTGCCTAGCACGATGCTCAGCTCTTAGCTTGCACTGTCTCATTTTGAGCCTCTTTTCTTCTTTGAGGCAGGTGCTATCATTGTGCATAAATTTACAGGGGAGGGGGAAAATTGAAGCTGAAAGAAGTTAAGTAACCTGCTGGGAATTTTTGTGAAAGAGCCAGGATTTCAGTACTATCTGGTACATGAGCCTTAGCTTTTAAAGCACCGTAAGAGTATCTTGCAGTCTATTTCTAGTGTGATAGCTCTAAAACCGCCATATGTAAGACAATCGTGAGTAGTTAAAGTTTGCTTAAATTTCTTTTATCTTCTAAACTGTTCATATCCATGGAACAATTTGCTTAATGATAGGTAATCTTTCTCCTCAATTGAATGGCCATTTCCTCTCAAAGGCTAAATAGCTATGCTCCCTGCTTTTGAATTCTTTTCCCAAACTACTTTGTTTTCTAACCTCCATCCTCCACACCCATTCCCAACTAGATAAGGAATGAAGGCACTGAAATTGGAAGACACCCTTTAGCAGCTCTGGCTGATTAGTTGGTGAGCCACTTTACTTTTCTTACTAACTCTGGCATGTCTCTCTGTGTGAATACCAAGTCTTACCTTATAGGCTTGTGTAGACATTAGAAATAATGGCTAGACAAGTCTTTGAGATTTGACATGCTAGCATATGTCAATCACCAGTAATAGAGATACAGCTGGGTAATAGGCTGCTTGCCTACAGCCAGACAGCTCCCTAATCTCCATCTCCCAGATCTCAACTGAGATGAACCCAACTAAACTCTACTTAATTGCCTGCACTATGGCTTTGAGGATTCTTCCAGGTATATGATAGCTTGCCTGTAGGACATGAATAGTCCTACTGAGTATTGTTTTCCAAACCTTTACAAGCTATGGGAGAGTTATTCAGGATGCTTTTATGAGAGCTGGTGGCCAGTGTGGTGCCACTGAGACTCCTTCCTCCTGTGGAGATTAAACCTGCTCTGCTTCTCCCATGTGTACCTAAAATAGACATGCAGCTGTCTTCTGCTCTCTAACGGTACTCAGGGAAAGATTTACGACAGTAGCTCCAGCATTAGTAGGGAGAAAGAGCCTGTGCAGCGATATCACAAGGCTCCTGTGGTCTTATGCCAGCCTCCGTGCCTGGGAAGGTACACATTCCAGACTTCCTTCATTTTCTAGATGCCCACCATGTTGTCACTCTTCACCAATGCACTATTGTGTTGGCTTGTGCCTTCTCACTTCCTTTTGCTCCCCATGTCTGCCATTTTGGTCTGAACAGTCATGGTCAGACTTTGAAAGCTATTAGAGTGATCTGCTCTAAGTGATCTGCTCAGACTTCAAGCCACCAACAATGTGCTTCAGCTTATCTCTCGTTCCTCTTCTCACCACTTTATCTAGCCAGCTGTCTCTAAGTATAGTCTGCTACTGGAATGGTATTGCCATTTTATCAGAAGGTAAAACAGCTACCTAGTTTCCATGTCTGGGGTGTGGGGGAGAGGGAATTGCCTTTCCTCACTGTTTCTCTGGAATTGTTATCATCCTTTCCTTCAACACACTTTGTACTAACTTTGTACATTGTTGCCTGAGTGTCTGCTCTTCCCTCTAAACTCTGCTTATCAAGATAGAAATTGAATCATGTTTACCTTGTCCATGCCCCCTGCCCTAGAGGGTCTAGCTCCATGTATAGACTATGTATGTTCTCAATTAAATTCAAAAGAAATATATTTTAAAAGCAGCTCAGTCTCCCAGTGGAATCCCTAGTAAGGGGAACAGAGACTGTCTCTGACATAAACTCAGTGGCTGCCTCTTTGATCACCTTCCTCTGTAGCGGGGAGCAGCCTTACCAGGCCACAGAGAAAGACAATGCAGCCAGTCCTGATGAGACCTGATAGGCTAGGGTCAGATGGGAGTACCTCCCCTATCAGTACCCTGGGGGAGGGACATGGGAGAAGAAGAGGGAGGGAGGGTGGGATTGGGAGGGGACAAGGGAGGGGGCTACAGCTAGGATACAAAATGAATAAATAGTAATAAATTAAAAATAAATTAAAAATTTACATAAACTTTCTTATTTATAAGGTATTGTGTGATGATTTGGTGCAAGTATACAATATGTAATGAGTACACTAGAGCAGTTAGTGTATGAAACACTTCACAAATTTTGCTTTGTGTATTATTTCAGGCAGAGACTACATTAATCACCTCTGCGTTGCTCTGATGTTAGTATGTATAATGTCATAATATGCACTAAGAGAAATATTTTAACTAAAAAATATTGGTGATTTCTGAATGCATCGATACATGCAATGCACCATTTAGAGAGTAAGTCACTTTGTGTTTATTGTCATCTTTGTTCTTGAGCCTACACTGGGTCACCTGTAGGGTCCCACTATATGTCTAGACACACCTGAAAAAATCATGTGGCCCTTCTACCAAGAGCTGTACGGAATGAGGGACTGGGGTGCCTCTGGAGAGAAGTCAGCCAAGAGAAGAGAAGCTGGACATCAGCTCTAAAGGGAGCAAGGTTTTGCTTACTGGAGGGAAGGGAAGCATAAGAGCCCGTGTCTTGTTTAGAGTTGTCCAAGAGAGCTGAAAGGTTGGCTGCAGGGCAATACAGGAGTGGGGGAGCAACACTCCTATGAAAATGTTGCTTTTCTTTGAATTAGGTAGCCAATGTTGGGGCTTT